AGCACAGGGAGGTCACCATATTATGGCCCATCACTCCAGTCCTCAATAAATCTAATTAGCATTTCATTATTACTGTATTATTATAACTAAATTAATATTTATATTCAGGGCATATATTTTGTTTTATGAATTTAATTTGAAAATTTGTGGTTTTTATTTATATTATGAAAACTTATAGATAAAGTACTCATAGTAAAACTGATCATAGATTTAATAATAAATAACTAATAATTATTAATAATAATTATTATGATTTATTAGTGTGTTTTCAACAATCTGTGTAATCACATGGCATTACTTGAAACATACAGAAGCGGTCATATATTTAGAGTCACATATGTTTTTGTTGTCAAATTAATCGGGAGACCAAAAAATTGACAATAATTAATCATAACATAAGGCATGACCGCACGAAAATGTCCTGATCAGTTTTGGTCAGTATATATTTACCCGCTCGGCCTGTGACCCAGTACAAAAACGTTTTTTCTAAATACTGACAAAAGTTTAAGTCATAGTGGTAAATCGTATTTATCTGGCCAGGGATCAATTCAATTGCTTCGGGAAGGCATAATACATTTAATTGAGTTAATTAAAATCTAATAATAATTTCAACCGGTTCAATCGGCCATCGGGGAAGCCGTGGAGCGGGTATTAGTGACCAATGTTCGGGAGCCCGAAACAGTGGCCACTAAGACAATCCTGGTGTTTAAACCACCAGAAACTATTTTCAATAATATAGTTTATTATCCTAATTGATAAAATTTACAAAATCTTAACCCGAATATTCCCGATAAAGTGTCAATAAAGTGTTCCCGATTATTCCCGAACTCATTAAATGGTGGCCAGAATTTGATTGCCATTGGATTTGACAAAAGTATATCGGAAAATGTGCTTGCTATATGATTTGCAATTAACAAAATTTGCATAAAATTTTTATTTAATCGGTACATTGGCTAGTTTTTAACTTACGTACATTTACCAAGTCCTCCATTCAAATAACATTAATGGTTTTGTGAAATGTACATGCAAGTTCAAAACTGACCGATTCAATAATTTGTTATGCAAATTGTGTTCATTGCAAATCTTAAGGAAAATATTTGCGGATATTTTCCGATATATTTTGGTCCATTCGGATGGCAATCAAAGTCTGGCCACCATTTAGTGAGTTCGGGAATAATCGGCAACACTTTATTCACTATTCGGGTTCAAACTTTGTCAATTATATCGGTGTCTACATTGCATTCAATGTTATGCTAACATTCATCATATGTATGCCTTTTAATGCCTTTTAATGCCATTCACTGCCAATTCATACCAATCGGCAATCGTATAACACTTTTCAACTTTTGGCCGCAACTCATACAGTGAGCCAATACTGCAATGGACTCACCGTTCAAGGGATTACACCATATATTCAGTGCTTGTGTCCAATGCGGGGGTAATTGAGATGACACGAGAGGTCATATGGTGTGAGTCACACACCTCTCAATCAGATGCCAATCAATGCCTCAAAGTTCTCAACAGTTTTACAATTTAATCGAATGACTCAATGTTGTGACGCATGCGTACTATCACTACATATAGTGAACCAAAATCAAGGGTTTTATAAGACATTAGTTTTGGGAAATATTGCCGACATTTCTCTCATCAAATATATTTCATTTAATTTGGTTTATATTTGTAAAATTCTTTCAGCCATTAAATTGAACATGATACATTTATAAGTAATCCAACTATTAATAGTGTATTGGAATGATCTGTGAGTGAAATAGTGATGACCAGTGCGTTAACGGCAATATGATAGCAACGAAGGGGAGTGTTGTAAAAGTGGAGTAAAACGTGTTTTCCGGACATTAATGTGTTGTAAAGTTAGACAACAACTGAAAACAACAGAAAATATGTTGTTTTCGGGGAACGAAACGGCGTTTTGTTTGCAATTAATGTCGGCTTTCAGTGATTGACTCCAATGTGCGCTCATTTGACACACGATTGCCATTCAGTGTCTCTTCGATCATATGTTGACTACATTTTGACAAAACTTTTTATTTTCTTATTTCTGTTGATTTAGTCAACAAATGAACTCTCATTTCGTTTTACAATTAATTTATATTTAATACAAATTATTATTATTTATGTTTTAATAGAGTTTTACGACTATTATTGCATTCATTGTTCAGTTATTTTGTTATCATTTTGTGACAATACGTTTGACACGAAGTTGTCTTCATTTGTGTTGATCTGAACTGTGGATCAGTTGCCATGAGTTTACTCGAGAGTATCCCTCAATTGAATCAATTGCTGGACGTCTGGCAGAAAGACAACAGGACTTCGGAACAAGTGATTCATGTCCTCAACAAGTATGCCATCAATGAATCCATTCATTGAAACCAATAGTCATTTGATTTGATTTGTGTCCAGAATTTCAGAACTCGTGGAGAAGGAGACGGAGGCGTACCTGAAGATGGATCCGGACCCCTTCGACGACCGCCACCCCTCCCGCGCCCGACCCGACTGTTCCCTCGGACTCGTCCTCAAGACGCTCTTCAGGAACGATGACTTCATGAATAAAGTATTGTTTTTGTGTTTTTATCTGTTTGTATGTTTTGCTCACTAATACAGTAACCGATTGTCTGTTTTGATGGACAGTTAGTCAACGACTATGTGATGCATAGGGACGACAAAGACCTCCACATCGCTGCCTGTCGTCTAATGTTAGACATATTGCCCGGTTTGGAGACATCAGTCGTCTTCAATGAAACGGTAGGTTTTGTGCGCTTTTGTTGAGTTGTCTCGCAATCACTAAATGGTCGCCAATTGTAATGATAGGAGGGTTTAGTGCAGCGGCTCTTCCAATGGGCCGAAAGCGCTTCGGATCCGTTGCAGTCATACGCGACGGGACTATTGGCGGCTGCGATGGAAGTGCAGGACATCGCCACCAACTCTAAGGACCAAAACGCGAGACTTCTGCCAATTATGTTGAAGAGACTGAAAGAGTTGCGGAATAAGAGCATTGAGACCAACGAAAACCATTTGAATGACCGGCCATTCCTTCACTTGAATAACAACAGTTTGAGTCCAAAGAAGTGTATTTCGAAATCCAAAGCAGATTTGAGTGACATTTCCAGTGAATCTCCGAACAAAAGCAAACGAACCCTTCAGTCGAGTTCTCCGGATCTGAACAAACGGCGCCGCCTTTCGAGTCCAATCAGTTTCTCAGCGCTGAGTCCGTCGACGTATAACAGCGAGTGCTCTAACAGTAGTTGGGCTGAAGTGGAGCCCTATATGATTGGCTTCTCGAAAGTGCATCCCTTGACCGAAGAGATGAAACAGAGGTTTATATTACAATATCTCACACCAATGGGTGACTATCAGGAAATGCTGTGTTTTGTGTTCGAGCACAACGCTCTCTCACTGATCATGCATTACATCGACTTAACCAAAAACAGAGACATTAGACTCGCTTTCGACGCCCTCAAGGTTTGCATACATTTTTCTATTAGTTTTTTAACATTGAGTTTAATTTAAGTTGTATTTAATCGGACAGTATTTGGCATCTCTTTTATGTCATAAGAAGTTTTCATTAGAATTTTTAAACGCCAGAGGATTAGAGCAATTACTTCAGATATACCGGCCCTCTGTTGCGGCCACTGGTGTCTCCATTTGTCTATACTATTTAGCATATAATGAGGACGCAATGGAAAAGGTATGAAATGATTAGAAATGTTTGTGCGAATGCCCTTGCTCATTATGTTGAATAACTCACAGATCTGTCTGTTGCCGAAACACGTACTCAACGATTTGGTGGCCTATGCCTTATGGCTGCTCGAGTGCTCCCACGACTCGAGTCGATGTCACGCCACTATGTTTTTTAGTCTCAGTTTTTCGTTTCGTATGATTCTTGAGCTGTTTGATAGTCAGGACGGACTCAGAAAACTTCTAAATGTGGTATTCATTTAACTATTGCTAAGCGTTTGAATGAAATGTTTTCTAAACTCGTATTGGTTTGTATGGAAAGATATTTCTTTTGGACATCTTTTCTGACGAAACGGAATACACTGAAGACGAGTTGTTCACCAAAAGGCAAAACGCACGGCACGTATGCGTTGCACTCAAGCGCTACTACGAGGCGCACCTTCTGGTCGAGGCTGAGATCCTGCGCCGATCCACGTCTTACTCCAGCTTTGAGTCCACTTCGAAGGACTCGATGGCCACTAATGTTCCGCCCTATAAGTCGACGCGATATAGTTATGACATAATTATGGAAAGGGTTGAGACTCTGCTCGAACTGATGCCCATTAGAATCAATTGGAAACCAGTCGACGAACTCTTGAAGTTAAGTGGAGTTAAGCTTTTGATTCAACTCATTGCCGTCTCTTACGACTGGAACTTCACGGGAAAGTAAGTATTTCTACTGTCATATTGTGAGGGAAAGGGTTGTGTATTAAAATGGCTTTTCTATCGATAGGGCTGAGGCAGTGAGAAGTGCATTGGATGTGCTGGTCGTGTGCAGCGTTACCCCAAAGTTCCAGAACGTGTTGTGTGAGAACGTGCCCGTCGGGGATGACAACCAAAACACTGTTGGCATTAGGTATTGGTTTGACAACCATTTTAACATACAATTTGTTAATTATTTGATTTTACTTTAGGATAATATTAGCTGCGGCTGAGGGCGAGATAGTGGCCGACCCTGACTGTCAGCGCTCTGCCCTTAATGTTATAGTAAACTGCGTTTGCGGGCCATTGAGTCGAATCGGCGGCTCTATTGCTCGTCTGTGCGGCGGAAGTGCTAAGAAGAGGTCGTTCAGGAGTGGAGAGGATTTGTTGACCAAAATGTGGAATTGTGTCCGAAGTAATAATGGGATTATGATTCTGTTGAACCTATTGATGGTTAAGACACCCATCACTGACGCCGACTCTATAAGAGCTCTTAGTTGTAAAGCTTTGTGTGGATTAGCTCGCAGTGAAACAGTGAAACAAATCATTTCAAAACTACCACTTTTCACAAACGGACAAATCCAGGGACTTATGAAAGAGCCTATACTTCAGGACAAGAGAACAGAACACATAAAGTTTTGCAAGCATTGCATCGAACTTATTGAGAGAGTGACCGGCGCTCCCGTGGCCACCAATTTAGAGACTTCTATTGCAAACATCAATAAAGTAAGTGTTGTTTGCGTTTTGTTAGCATTTGATTGAATATGACATTTGATTATAACCTAAAGGCAGAAGTGGTGGCGCAGACGAGGANTGAAACAAATCATTTCAAAACTACCACTTTTCACAAACGGACAAATCCAGGGACTTATGAAAGAGCCTATACTTCAGGACAAGAGAACAGAACACATAAAGTTTTGCAAGCATTGCATCGAACTTATAGAGAGAGTGACCGGCGCTCCCGTGGCCACCAATTTAGAGACTTCTATTGCAAACATCAATAAAGTAAGTGTTGTTTGCATTTTGTTAGCATTTCATTGAATATGACATTTGATTACAACCTAAAGGCAGAAGTGGTGGCGCAGACGAGGATTGAGTTCAATGAGAAGGAGTTATTACAACTCATTTACCATCACTTAATGAAAAAGGGTTTATCAAAAACCGCTCAATTACTGCACACAGAAGCAGAACTTCCGGCCTCTGGTTCTAATCGAGCCATTAGTCTGTGGCAAACGACACCCCTTTCCCTCAATCGAGTCGTAAGTTTGTATTAGTTATGCCATAATGAATGAAATGATGACAAATTGTTTGTCGACAGTCACGTCCAATATCGACGGCTCCATTTCCCAACAGTTTGTCCACCTCTTCCCCCGTCAGCAGTGCGACGCTCAACAATACTATGACTCCCGTCGTGTCTGCAAATACCTTGTCCTCGCCTTCTAGTCTGCAGAATGCGAACTCCCTGTCCCCCAGTGTTCCCATTCGTATACATCGGCCCAATCCTAGCAAAAGTTCGGCCAAAAGTCTAAGCGTCAGAAAACTTCAGTCAACGACTCATCCGTCGTCCCCTATAATCAAACGGCTGAACGAACACTCGAGTCAACCACAAGCCGTGTCTTCCATAT